AACGGGCGCAGAGGCAGGAGGGCAGTTCTGGGGAGCAGGCTCCCAGCCGCAGTCCCGCTCCGCCACCCTCCACAGTTGAGCGGCTTCAAGCCTCCAAGAGCAGGGCCACAAATAAATGTGTGATAAATGCTAGCTATTATTTCTAAAATTTCTGCTGCAGGCTACCATTCCTGCGGGAAAGTGCCCAGGCTGCAAGCACGCGGCTTACGTGCACTCAGTCCGATGACTCATCCAAATGCACGCACCCACGTGCAGGCTGCGATGAGACGTCACTCGTCACTCGTCTCCCAGAGCCCCCGACGGCTCTGGCGCGCAGCTTGCTGGAGGGAGAGGCTTCTTCTGCATCCTCCCAGCATCTGATCCAGACCATTTAAAGGTCGCTTTGTCTGTGTTACTCATGCTACATCCCCGGGGCCTGGAATAGGCCCGGCACAGGGCAGATGTACTAGAAATGTTTACCAAAGCCCTGGCAGGCTGGCTGGAGCACCGTCCCGTACACCGAAGGGCTGCGGGTTTGAATCCCAATCAGGGCACAGGCCCGGGCTGTGGGTAACCCTGGCTGGGCATGGACGGAAGGAAGCTGATCGGTGTGTCTCACATGGATGTTTCTCTCTCTCTCTCTCTCTCTCTCCCCCTCCTCCTCTCTCTTTCAAAAATCAATGGGAAAAATTATATATACACATACCCACCCGCAATGATTTCTGCTCAGTGTTGTGGTTATTTGTGTGCATATTTTAATCCCAAACACTTGTTTACGAGCTGCTTCTGAGCAGGGCGTGCCGCTGCCCAGCACTAACCCTCCCTGACTCTGATTCACTTGCATGTTCAACCGACAAGCACTCAGTGTGTCAGGCGCTGTGGTACGTCCCAGAGACTGGGTAAGAGTCCCATCCTCATCCTCAGGGAGTCCACAGCCCAGAGCGACATGCTGGGTGGGCGTTTGGCCTGGCTGCTGCAGCCTGCTGGGTGGGGCGGGGGGAGGTCAGGGAATACTGCTTCAGGGGGCACTCCCTGAGGAAGAATGGGGTCGGACAGGAAAACACACCCCCAAAGCGCCCACCTTCCCAGGCAGGGAGGCGGCTGTTTGTGGACAGGAGCCGGGGGGGGGGGGGGCACGCTCAGCTTGGCTGTAGTCCCAGGTAGAGATCCTCAGGAAGGGTGAGGCCAGTCCTGTGGCTCTCAACACATGCTCATGTCTTAGTCATGCTGAAGAGTGTGACTTGGCTTTCAAGGTGACACGGAGCAAGGAGAAGACCCAGAGGCAGGGCCTGGAGGCAGAGGACACCGTGGGAGGGCCCACGGGCTCCCAGAAAGAGCCAGCCTTGCCAGAGTAACTGATGCCCCGCAGCCCCGGGAGGCCAACAGGTGGAGTGTGCCAGGCTCCCACTTGCTGAAGGGGTCAGCACTTGGGGAACACCCTCCATTTGGCCCCAACCTAACTGGTCCTGTGGCCGTCTCGCCTCTAAGCGGGCCCTGGGCCCCTAGGCGGCCAAGGCACGCACCCTCTGCAGCGCCAGGCTCGGCCCAGCCTCCGGACCGCGCCGGGAATGCCGCCCCTTCTCCCTGCTCTGAGGCGCAGAGCCCAGCCCTGCCCACCCCCTGGGCCTTTTCTGTGCCACCAGCCCCTTCTCTGAACTCGCGCCCCCAACAGGCAGAGCTGTGGTGGCCCCGGTGCCCTCACACTGCACAGAAGCAACCGAACCCCCTCTTTTTGTCTAGATCTCTTGCTGTACAGAAAGTGCCCTCTCCAAACACCCGCTAAACACTCCTGTTTGATATCCTGTCCCTGTGGGCCATCTCTCCGTCCACAGATGAGCCCTGCTCACGCGTTCGTCCAGCGGGCATCGGACGCCTAGGAGGTGCCAATCCTGCTCTTGTCCCCCTGCCCCAGAGATGCCCCACTCCCCTGTGCTCCCTGGCAGATCCGACCGCGCCCGCCATCCCCTGCTAGCTCTGTCCCCTCCCCCGGGAGCTTACCTCCAAAGGCCACAGCCACAGGCTCCTAGGGAGCAGGGCACGCCCCCTGTGCTGGCACACAGAAGACGGATCTCTGATGGCCCTCTCCGGTTAGCACCTTTTGGCGGAAAGGAGTAAAACCAAGCACAAAAGGCTTTTTCACTGCGAGACCACGTAGCTTTCTTCCAACCTGCGCACCCCTGCAGGTCACATGATTGAGAAATCGCCTTCCGTGGGAAAGAGGGAACTTGCAGGAAGAAGCTCAGAGAGGTGCACAGCACCTGAGTCACTCAGAGCCCAGCAGGGCCGGCCAGACCTGAGCATCTGCCCCTCCATTTGGTGAACGCCAGGCACAGAGGAAGAGGCAATGGCACTGCTGACTCAGGCGGACTTAGGCGCTACAGAGCGGTTCCAGAACCCCGTCCAGAGGCGGGCGAGGCGGGGCTAGAAAAATAAACCCATTTGCCTTTGCCTTCTTCAGGCAAAAGCAGATATTCTTGTCTACTGACAGTATCGTAGCTAGGAATTTAGCAAGGAGCCTAAGAGCTTAAATCACTGGCTTGTTAAAGCTCGTTGATTAAATGCAGGCTGACAACAAACTCGTACAGTACTGGCAGCTTTCATGTACTTTTTCTTTTTTTTACCAAGCAGCTGAAGGTTTCTACAATAGCATTATATTTCGCAACTTCATTTTTCCAGAGTGGTTTCTGCCATCAACTGGGTAATTACAATGCTGCTCGAAATGCAGCCTGCAGGGACAGGCGTGTCCTGTGTAGGAGAGGCCCGCGTCTCCATAGCAGAGGGACAGGCCCCCCGGCCCAGCACTTGCCCCGACGCCCGACACCACTGTGCATCGCCTCATTCCCTTGACCCCTACCTGCGCTAGGATGTGGGTGCCACCATCACCCCCACTTTACAGACTGGGAAATCGAGGCAAAAACAAATTAGAAACTTGCCCAAAGGCACATACACGTGCATGACAAGCCCCGAAGTCTAACCAGGGCCCCCTGGCTCCAAAGCACGAGCCTGAGCCGCCCCATGGCCTCTGCTGTCCAGCACTTGCAAGGCCGCCTGTGCGCACTGCCCTCTCTGCACCGCCACCTAGCTCAGGGTGGCTATTGAGTGACACTGGATGGCAATGTCACCGCCGTTATAAGACACACAGGGGCCCTGACTGGGCAGCTCCGTTGGTTTGAACATCATTCCGATACACCAAGGTTGTGGGTTTGATCTCCGGTCAGGGCACATACAACAGTCAACCAACGAATGCATAAATAAGTGTGGAACAACAAAATGCTGTCTGTCTCTTTCTCTAAGATCAATAAATAAAAATTAAATAAAAAATAAAAGGGAAAGTTTCCCATGACCCTAAAGGATCCTGTCTGTGGTGTGGGTCAGTGTTGAGAAGAACAAGGACGTGGTTTACGAAGGCCAGCCTCGCAGGGGCTCCCCGGGCCGCCGGACAGCCGCCGCTGGCTCCTGCGGGCTTCCGCGGGGCTGGCAGAGCCCGGCCTCCGGGGGCCCGTGGGGCCAGAGGGGCAGAACCAGGTTTCAGCACCGTTGCAGGGCCACCTTCGAACTGCATCTTGTGACCGCCACGGCTTTGTTACTGAATAATTTTCCTGACGATGCTATTACAGTTGTCTGATAAGTGGCCGCCATTTCTAACACAGCTCCATCCGGCTCTGCCCCCAGCCTTCCCCGACGCAGTGAGAGCGCACCTGACCATGCCTGGCAGCCGCTGCCGCCAGCAGCTGGGACACGCCCAGGACTCTGTCGCTGCCCATCACTCTTGCTGCCTTCTATGAAATGTCACCTTGGACCATGTGCCTCTCTGGCTACTGCAATTTGAGCTCTGGCCCCGAGCTCCAACCAGGAAGGCTGCGCTTTTCGGTTTGCTCCGACCCCACAGAAGCCAGCTCCCAGAGGGCAGGGACCGGGGCACCACATTCCTTGCTGGGGCCTCACAGGGCCTGGCATGCAGCAGGTGCTCAATAAATACATACCTTTAATAAAATGAAGTATTCAGCTGAAAGTCAACAATGACCTTCTCCCCAACACAGAGGAAGAAAAGCACTGGCCAGGTCTTGCGCTCTTTCTCCACCGTTTCTAAGCTTGGCCACCTGTGACCACTTGCCCACTGCTGTCAGCCTGTCGCCTGGCGCAGCTGTGCACCCGGTCGTTCTGTCTGTAAAGCTCCCTCGTGCCCATCCCCTGCAAGGCTCAGGGTGCCAGCCTCGCCTCCCGTGTCGGGAAAGCGCCCAGGTGGGGGCCAATGTCCACGTTCTCGCCTCCTCCTGGCAGCCCCCCAAAGGCCAGCATCATCCCCTGCTGCAGATGAAAAGCCCGCGGCTCAGGCCAGGCCAGGAGGGCGCGCAGCGAGCGAGGGTCCAGCTGGGGGCAGGGCCTAGCTCTTTCCAACTGCCAAGCGAGAGCTCATTCCCTAAGCCCCTGGCTACTGGGAAAGTTACAGGGGTTTGGCTGTGAGAACAAAATTGGGTCAAAAACGGACTTTCCTTTAACCAGCAGGCAGGAAAAGTAGGTGGGGCTCAGGAGGAGTGACCACAAAGCCACGCAGTGATCCAATCAGACACCGGAAGATGTTCCCCCAGGCCCCGGGGCAGCTTGGTCAGCCCCCTGGCCACTCGGCTGCACTGTCCGGCGTGATGTTGCATCACGACCACCTGCTTTGCTGTACAAAACCCAAAAGCAAAACTGCCTTTCAGGCTAGGCCGGCGGTTAGTGTGTGTTGCTCCAAGTCACACATGGGGCTCAACATGAAGGGGAAGAGCAGAGGACGACAAGCCGACGAGGCCTCTCAACCCCCCGAACTCTCCAGGTGTCCGACCCTTGCGGCAGGGTGAGTCCACCGCCTTCACCGACAGCTCGGCCACGCCTGCTGCCATCGGACCTGGCCCCCTTGCCTGGTTGGCATGGGGGCGTGTTCACCTGACCCCTCCCATCCCCACCAGAAAAAAGAAAAAGAGCCCTGGCAGACATCAGCCTGACCGCCGCGCCGTGGGTGGGGGGAGCATGGGCTTTACCTCCCAGAAGCTGTCGCTGGACACCTCCACTCCAACGGAATCATCGTAAGTGACAGACATCTCGCCAAAGGGTAAGGGAGCAGCAGGGGTGCTTAAATTCAGACCAACCGCAGATGCTCAAGATCCGTAGGCAAACCTGCAAGAAAAACACATCGCTGTGATTTTGAATTCCCAAGGTAAAAGGGCAACGCATTTCCATTCACAATTTCCATTTCCATCACTGCCTGCATACAAAGCCGTCTAAAAGGTTTCCTTTGGTTGGGACGAGGCCAAGAAACTAAACCCCGGGCACTGACATGTGTGCGTGCATCACAGGCATACACGAGTTGCATTTCTCACTAACAAGTGGTAGCCTCTGCAACACCCGGCCAGAGAGCTCCAGGAGCTTCCGGAAGAACAGCTTGTGCTCCCGGAAGGACAGACCGACGCCCTTACTAAACACCCTTGCTCAGCCGGGGGAGGACGAGGCACAGCGTACGAGAGGAACGTGAAGCGAGCGAAGCAGGGCAGGGCCCTTGCCTGCTGGCTTGCCGCGTCCCAGCCGGCAGGGCCGGGAGCTCAGATGAAGTGTGAGGGGAAATAACCCACCCCTCACAGGGCCCTCCCCTCTCCACAAGGATTCTGGCCCACGGTGGTGGGCACCGTCCTCCCCCCATCCATCTCAGCCCCTGAAGCCCCACATTCAGACAGTTTCTTTTGAGGCCGCCTGCGTTGTGTGAGGGTCAGCTGGAAAGAGTCAAGGAAAATAAGCTAAGTGGACGACGTCTGAGGGCGGATTCAGTATTCTCAGCCCAGCAGGGGAAGGGGGGAGGGGTCCCCTGCTGCAGGAAAGAGGCTGAAGACACGGAGAAGCACAGCCGCTGGATGGCGTGGCCGGTCCACAGCTGGGTGGGGCTCCAATCACACAGCTCCGGGGACCAAAACTTTCCTAACCACTTAGTCAGGAGTCCAGCCTCTCAGCTTAGCGATGGGAGTGGGGTGGGGCGGGCAGAGCGGGCAACACTGTCACACGTACAAGGTGCAAGGCTGTGGTCTAGGTGCTCGTCCTGAGGCAAGCACAGCTCAGCCGCAAGGCTCGTGACACAGTCTAGAACCGCAGTAAGGAACACGGGCTCCAGAGGCAGGCTGCCTGCTCCGCTCCCGAACCCCGCACTCCCTGGCTGGGCAAAGGCGGGCAAGTGCCCCGACCCCTCTGTGCCTCACGGCTTTATCCGTAGAAGAGGGACAATAAGGGAATCAGAACTGCTGTGAGGGTCAAATGAGGCATTACATGCAGGGGCTTAGGACAACACACGGTGCATAGTCAATAATAATGTAGTTATTGTTAGGTAGTAATTCTTGTTATTGTCATTACTCTGGTCTATATAGTTGAGAAAACTGACACTTGGAAAATTTACGTGATGTGCCCTTGGCCACCCAAGAAATGAGTGGTGGAGACCAGCATTTCACACCACTCTCCTTGTTCGCTAAGGTGACACCCTATCGAGATGTTTGCTAAAAACTGTTTCTAATTTAAAAACATCGGGTGTCCTCCATCCTGAGCCCTACTTGCTAGCCCAGTAGGGTTTACTCTGGTGGCGCTTCCAGAGGCAAGCCCAGCGCGGCACGGCCCACAAGATCGAAGCGGAGGCCGGGTTACGGCGCCTCAGAGCCGCGAGCTCTCGCCGAAACTGGGCAGAGTCGCGTGGGCACCTCTGCGTGAGCGGGCAGAGGCGCTCGTCCTGCCACATGCTGGCTCAAGCTCTGCCCTGTGACCACAGGGGCAGCGTGTCAGTCACTCCAACCATGGGGCTATCACAAAGGCCAGACAGGCCACTCTGGCCTGGGCTCCGGTGCCACTGGCATTTCACGGTGTCCCTTTCTCTGTGACACCATCTGCTCTGAGCCAGGGCCCTCCTAGAAGCACCCGGCCCACGTTGGCAGCAGCAGCAGAAGGCCCTCTACCCAGGACAGCGGGCCGCTGCTCTGGGCTCCTCGGGGGAGGTCTGGGCGTCCGGCTCCGGGGAGTCTCAAAGCAGCCCAGTCGAGCTGCTGGCAGGGCTGCGGGGCCAGCTCGGGAGCAGGTCCGGGGAGAACAGGGCGCCTGCTCTGCGTGGAGAGGTAGCCTGATGCCTGAAAAGCTCAAGCAGAGTTCATTTCTGCCTGGGTTCAGCCGCGGTTTAGACACCCACGAAAGGTCAGTTCAGCACAAGGTTTATTGAGCATCTGCTATGAGGCAGGAGCCACCAGGCTCCGTACGGGAAAACACAGCCAGTTCCTAGGAGAAGGGCCTGCATCACTAAGAGACGCCCTGCCAAGCAGCAAGTCCACGATGCCCTGGGGCTGCCAAGGCCGTCGGAGGCGAGGCGGCTCCCAGCTGCCTGGTGGGAACAGGGAGGACCGATTTTCCTCACCCAAGTCACCAGCAACAACCTGCTAATTTCCCTCAGTCCAGGGCCCTGGACCCCCCCACAGCACTGTGCTCCACGACTGTGACATCCCCCAGATCACAGCTGTGCGAGGGCCACACTGACCCCATCGGCACCCGCACGGCCACAGCCCAGCGGTTCACAGCCCAGCCCGGCCCAACCGCCCTCGCGCTGGCCAGGGCTCACCAGCCGCTGAGGCAGCCCCTGCACAACCCGCAGGTTCTGACCCCGCCTCGCCAAGCTGACACACAAATGCCACTGGGAATCTAAGGGTTCTTTTTCCTCGGTTTCTTCCCTTCCCATTTGCATTCTTCTACCATCTTTGGCTTCAATGTGTTCTTTTTCTAGCTTCTGGGAATGAAAGCTTGGTTCATTAATTTTCAGCCCTTCTTCATTTTTAATACATGCGCTCAAAACCATAAATCTCCCTTGAAGCACCAATTTAGCTATATTCCACAGCTTCATTTATTTTTCACAACAGTCTCATGAGGTAGGTGCTTTTATTTCTCCTTTTCACAGATCAGAAACTGAAGATCAAGAAACTTGCTTAAGGATATAAATGGTGAGCTCAAGAATCAAAGGCAGGTCCTATGGTTCTAAAATTCAAGTTTTTCCTATTACACTACACTGCAGAAAATTAAAGAAGTTTATAGGTAAAATGAAGAAAATACTGTGAAAATAGCAAGAAAGCAAAAACGAGTCCTTCCATGAATAGGGCGTGGAAAAAGCTAGAAAGAGACGGGCCCTGCCCAAATGCACAGGAGAGGGGCTTCCCGCCTGGAAGAGGGAGCGGGGGTCACGGTGGGCCAAGGGGGGACCAGGAAATCCCATCTGTCCCTGGAAATCCAGGGTTGGCAATTTTACAAAAGTAACAGAATCAGTTGTCGTCAGCCTTTGGGGCTCAAACAAAAACCGTTCTCCGCGCTACACAGCTGGACTTGCTCGTTTGCAGCCAGGACTTGCCTGGCACCACACACTCCCCGGGGTGCGATGATCCACCGCTATTCCTGGGCCCGCAAGGCGTTCTCCGTCACACCGGCCGGAGCTGGGCTCAGAGACGGTCAGGGAGGAGCCCAGAAAACGCCATGTGACTCAGTGACATAATGGTCTTCCATCAACAAAACTTGGAAAGGGGGGAAGACCTGTCATACCAGCTGCACTTGGTGAGCCTCACTTGTTAAAGATTCAAGTTCCCAGAACTGAGAGAGGGCTGGGGACACGGAAAGACCATCGGCGAGACCTCACATTAAAAAAAAAATAAAACTGCAATACAGCTAAACTGGACTAGAGTAGTGGGAATCAGGAAAGGCCCAAATGTTACATTTGACAAATGTGAGCACAAAATATTCTTAGCCCTTTTAATATTGTACATAAAGTGAAATCGGTTGATGTGAAAGTGAAAATGCTTGGCGACAATCAAAACACAATCTCAGACCACCTGCTCTACATATTGACAGAAGGCGGGAAAAATGGCGCTATCCGATGTTAAGGGGTCTTAATGTACCAAATCGGCCATTCTTTTTTTAAATGTATTTTGTAACCTACAAAAACAAAAATAACCTGTTCTCCATAGAGAACTCCAAGAGGGTCTGGCAGAGAAAAGGACGAGGAGAAGGATGGCCTGTCCACGGTCCCATCACCCGAAGACAACACAATGCGTGTTCCTCTCTCACAGCTTGTCCCCAGACAACACCCTTCCCCGCCTTAAGGGAAGGGTGGGGGACACACGGACCCAGGGCGCCTAGAGCTGCAGACCAACGCCGCTCAGGGCAGGGGATGCGGTCTGCACTCCAAGAGAAAATGAGCTTTCTGAGCAGTGGCCTGAAGCCTAGTCCAACCGATTCGGTTCCAGGCAATGGACACTCACGTGAACCCCCCCTAGGGGGTCCAGCTGCAGGGGGTCCAGCTCCAGGCCAAGCCCAGGAGCCCACTCAGTCCCAGGGAAACCAAGGCCACCAAGGAAGGACTTAAAGAACTGCCTATTGGTACCACATAGGTATTCGACAACCCCCTAAGGATCGAATGGTGCCCCCCAGAGAAGGCTCCTGGCCGCAGCTGGCTGTGTTTGTGTCAAATTGAGAACTCCAGCTTCAACCACACATGGTTCTACTGCTCACCCGGGAACCCAGGGCGGTAATGAACCGACACCGTGTACCAAGCACCTCTTATCACCAACAGGTGGTCCAGGTGAGCTTTCAGTGTATTATTTTTGTTCCTCAAAAGCCCTGTAAGACATGTATCATTGTCCCCATTTTACAGGGCGACAACCGAATACGATGATTCAAATCAAGGGCCCCACAGCTCGTAAATGCCAGGCGGGGGCTCAACCCAGACCAAGCAGCTCCATGCTGCCCACCTCCAGCAGGACAGGCCACACCCAGCCCCAAGTCGCTCCTAGACCTGCGAGCCCTGCGTGGCTGGGAGGCTGGTCCCTCAGAGAAGGGGACTTGATTGTCAAGGGTGTCTTGTTAATATCGCTGTTCAAACATCCCCCAAAGGCCACAGGCCTGCCAAGGAATGTTAGTCGAATTTTTTTTTTTGCCCTGGCCGGTGTGGCTCAGTTGGTTAGAGCATCACCCCGTAACCGAAAGGTTGCGGGTTCAATTCTTAGTCAGGGCACATACCTGGATTGCGGGTTTGATCCCTGGTCCAGGCGTGTGCAACCCCAATCCGGGCGTGTACGGGAGGCTACCAATCAATGCTTCTTCCTCAAATCGATGTTTCTCTC